GTTAACTGCAGTTGGGATTGATGGCAATAACGAAATGTATCCAGTTGCCTATGAAATGGTAGAGACTGAGTATGGAGAAATTTGGAGTTGGTTTTTAACATTGCTGAGAGATGACTTAAGGATTCATAACTCCCATGGATGGACATTCATTTCGGACAAATAGAAAGGGCTGGCAAATGCAATTGGATCACTCTTTGAACATGCATTCGTCAATTGTATAATAATTTTAGTGTTACTCATAAGGGTCCATCTTTAAAAAATTGTTTGTTGGATGCAGCAAGAGCAACAATAATTCCAAAATGGTTAGAACACATGCAAAGGACACAAGATTTGGATGCAGCAGCATATGGATGACTTGATCAAGTTAATATTAAGAACTTGTACTACATTTTTTCTCAATGGTTATTTGTGCTAAATGGTTAAAGGGTTAGGTATGATATTTGCCAACAACGTTTTGAGATGGAGTATAAACTTGTAGATTATTTCAAACCATAAGGATGATATTAACCCAAAACTTTTAGAGGGGAAAAATATATAAAACTTGACTAATTTACCCTTTTCAAAGAACGTGAGCGATTTTCATGCATTTATTTAACGGTAGAATTAACGGAACGTGACAGAAAGGACCACTTTCACAAGAAAGGTATGAAATGAGAGTGCAAATGTCAAATTTGAAACGATAGGCACTATTTTAGCAATGAATGCAAAGGATATGAACGTTTTTTGCTAATTATCCTCATTTTTCGTGATTTCAAGAAGCTAAGTTTAAAATTGTTAATAACGAGATTAAGTTGTCATTGATATACAATTCTATCTGAAAGTTTAGATTATCGATTTATTTACACCTAAGGTGCAGAAATAATCAATTAAAAAGTAATAAGTCACTTTTAGTTTTTTTCTAGGTGATTAGTCAATCAAGATCAATTACTAATTAATAATAGGAAAGAAGACTAAGGAAGATCATGGAGAAACCCCAACTAGGTAAAACTTCGGATACTTTGCTAGTCAGTAATTCATTATAAATAGAAGCAAACTTATAGTAGGATCCAAACCCATTTATCCCGTAGAACTTCTAACCTCAGCTCCTATAGTCTCCTTTGATCATATTGGAGGTGCCTCCCTTCAAAACAAATCATGACTCCTGGTTTATAACTTCGCCCTCCTAGACTGTGTGATCCTGAAGCCAAATCCCAACTCTTGGTACCTCACCTTAATCCTCTTGAATTTGTGCTTCCTCCTTCTTTGGGTTAGTATTTGATCAAACGATCTTTGTGTTTTGATTAGTGGTTTAATGTCTAAAAATGTGAAAATATATGGCTTAATATATATCTCTTTTAATGGAATAATTTATGGTTCAAAGAAATATATAGGCTTGGAAAGATTTTATGAACACAATGATAAGGTGGTTGAATCTAAAGATCAAGAAATGATGATTTGGATCTTCAAGGAACTATCTTTATGGAATAATATGATTCAACACATTTTAGGACGTCCATAGGGTTGTATATTTATAGCGAAATGTGTTTGGAATGAAATAGGGATGAAAATCATGTGTTTTAAAACAAACATGATTCTGCCTCATAATGCTATCGCTCGAGCTTTAGGATAGCGACAGGCAAGTGGGGCACTTATCGCTCGAGCACCAGTTTAGCACTAGGTGGGTGACAGGTATTCTACTTCTGCCGCTCGATTGTCAACTGGGTGATAGGCTAGCCAGAATGTGTCCTACCCTCTATCAACTTCTTCAAATTTGAATCATGATCTTTTTCTTGGATTTCACTTCTCTTTGAACTCTATCAACCCCAAACTATACTTACCATAACTTGGACTATTCTAATATAACTAAATTATAATACAACTCTAACAAATTATGATTTTTGTCTTTGGAAATCACCAATTGCAAAATAGACTTTGACAATATCATTAAAATTACTTATGGTATTTGATACGTAGATATGGTAGTTATTTTTTTACTTATACATCAAATTAAAAACTGCCAAGTGTATACCACATAGGGGCGACTGTCGGTAGTTTTCACTGCGAATAGCATTATTCAATAACTTTATCCTTATATTTACAAATAAGTTAAATTGGGCAACAATTTTATGAAGTTTAAAGTATATGTAATTTCTTGCCAAAATGTCACTTTTTTTTTTTTTAAGGATATTAATCAAATATTTTATAGGAACATTACATATACAAGGTGGTTGCAAAATACAATTTCAAAATTAAGAAATTAGGTTTATTATTTTAAAAACCAGGTCTAAATTAAAAATATAATTTATCGATTAAATATATTAAGCTCACAATATTATATAATTTATGGTCATATTTATGTGCCACAATTATAGACATCACAATAATAAATGGCAAATTTTATAGGTCATAACATATTTCTCAGTAATAAATTATCAAATTAATGGTTCATGTATTATTTTTAGATCACAAATCAAAAATTTTATAAATTATAATTTCATTATGAGTCACATATTACTAGATTAATAGGTCACGTATTTTTCGATTACAAATTACAAATTTTATAGATTGTAATTTCTTTATCGGTCACATATTCTCAAATTAATAAGTCATGTATTATTTGTCAATCAAACATCACAAATTTTATAAGTCACAACTTATTTTAAAGTTACAAATTATCAATTTAATTGGTCACAGTTATTTCTCAATTACAAATTATTAAATTAATTAATCACAACTTAACAAATTGAAACATGATTACAAATTTAATAGAAATTTTACATTTTGGATCACATATTATTTATTGGTAACAAATTATATATTTCATCAATCGTATATTATTTACTGGTCACAAAATAACTATTTATTGATCACAAACACTCTTCTTCCATCCGCATCCCCCAACATCGCCTTCACCACATGCAATGCATCACCACCACCGCTTACTCCATAAACCAGCACCACTACAACCTTCGATGCACCACCACCACCACTTGTACCACAAACACCATCTCTACCATTATCACCACCAACTATACCTCAATCCACAACCACTAAACGACCTACCACACCACCTCTACATCAAATCCAAACCCACCATCACCAGTAACATAGGCAAAGATAAAAATGAAGAAAAAATAGAAAGTAGATGTGATGAAACTGTGATGCCAAAACCTCAATGTCACGGCCTTAGTAAGACGAGATCAGAAGAATCGAATACCAGATTTGCAGGTTGTTTTCGTACATCGATCCGTTGATGCTCGAAAACGACCAAAACTACTCCTTACAACCACCAATTCTTGCCCCATTTGTACACCACGACACTCATTTGTCATACAATAGCCTCCTCCTACAGAAATCCCATAATCACCACTACCAAATTCCTCCTCGCACTATGACGACGAGCGCCGAGTGCTCCTTGGTGTACGTAGCAGCGGTAATGAGCAATGTGTCGCTCAGCGCGCAGTGACAACGACATCATCGACGGTGCTTGGTTGGTGTAACATCAGTGGAGAGAGAATAGGTAAAGAGAATGGAAGTGTAGAGAGAGAGAGAGAGAGTGTGTGTGGAATTTCGATTTCAGGGTGGGTGTTGGTATATTAATTTAATTTTATAATATTATTATTTAATATTAAAAATTTAAATTATCACCTGATTTTTGTATAAACAAATCTTAACACATGAATTTTTAAGCTGAAACTTAAAAAAACTATCTCCATATAATTTTCACACATTTTATATTTTAAGGACAGTGAGCCTTAAATTTTTTTAAAAAGGTAAGAATTATTAAAACAATATCATCAAGAAAACTTACACCTGCAAAAAGTTTAAAGAGGTATTCAGCCTAATTTTTCAATTTTTATATGTGATGGGCCAGGGTGCGGACCAATATGGGTAAGGTCGTTAAGCTGAGACAGGCTAACATTTTTAGGCTCACCTTGTAAACGGCCTAAATGATCGTATATATCTTATCGTAATTAATAATAATTACAAAAATGATGATTATTTAGGTCATGTAATGACACAATTAGAATAACTAATGAAGGTTAAAGAGATGGAGAAACGATAGAGGTCTTCTTCTGCAAATGGCCCAAAAAGACACAGAAAAAAGATGAGAGGCCTTATTCTCAACTCTGTCACCGGCCACCACATGTATCCATGTGTAGGTCATGGCGGCCACAGTTATGATGAACGCTGGAGGTAAACAAGGTCACGATTGACTGAGCCAAGGGGAAGCAAAAAAAAAAAAATAATTTAACTGATATATAGAATTTTTTAATTTTCATTTTGGCCTTCAAAATTTAATGCGGTACTTTTGAAAATGGCATGGTCAATCAAGCAAAATTTCACTTTGACTTGTTAACAAAGGAATATTATCACAATGGCCTATTGAGGGGTAAAAGACAAAAATACCCATAAATATATTATACAATTACAAAATATGATTTTGTTTAAAAGACATTACTACCATTTTAGTTAACACTTAAAAACCAAATACTTCCTACTTAAAACATCAAAACAAACTAACTTTTCTTATCTGTTTACTCTAACACAGATAAAAATACTCTTATTTTTAATCTACTTCAACCATAAAAATTGAAAAATTTATCGAACACGGAATTCAAAAAACTTATTGATATCTATCAAGCAAGATCGATAAGTATAAATACGCAAATTTAATTTTATTTCAATTACATTATTGTACATTTTAATTGATAAATTTTATTTCGACATATAATGTTAATGTAGATAAATTGTTTTAATAGATCTGCAAAAAATTTAAACATTTGACGAGAAAAAAATTCATCTGCATATACAAAAATGCAGACGGACAAAAGTCGAACAGCTTACCGGACAGCCGACTGTTTTTCAACTATTTTTTTGCTATTTTTATTACCGTTGATATTTTTCTTGCAATTAAAAATTATGTTTTGTTATGAAGATATGGTTGCAGTCTCACTTCATTACTTTGGTGATTTAGAATTTGACGAAAGAAATAGATGGGTACGGAAATGGACGAGCGATAATCGTAATGGTATACCGATTTCCATAACATCAAGTACATCATATACAGAACTCTATTATGATTTACAGAACAAGCTGAATGTTGATCCTTCTTAATATGACATGGAATTGAAATTTAAATTCAGCGAACAAGCAGATACTCCGATTCCACCTATGACGATTTCTTCGGATGCTGAAGTGAATTATCCGTTTGAATTGAACAATAAGCACACACTCCTTTTTGTGTGACTTTAGTAAGGAAGGATGTCGTCGAAAATGAACAAGTAGACTCGGATGGAGGGGATCACAATGCTAATGATTTTTAGGATACGGTAGAGATAGCTCGTGGAGATGATGTGTTTATTCTAGAATTAGTTGCGCACAGAATTCCATCCGTAGTTCACGACGACGAGAATGAAAATATAAATACTTTTACAAATGAGGATTGATTGCTTTATTTAGGCAGAGACATGAGCGGGATCAGACCTCAAGGGTTGGATAGAGTGGACCATCCATCTAACTCCTCGCGTGTGGTTTCTGATAGCGATAATTTGTATGTCGAGCAACTATTTGAAACGAAGAAAGATTTGCAGAAAGCTATGCACTTAATTGTACTAAAATACAACTTTTGAATTCAAAGTGAAAAAATCGAATAAGTCGTTGTTGATGATCGACGACGTAGATGATAGTTGCCGTTGGCGTTTGCGAACAACGAAGATGGATACAAATGAGTGCTTTGTAGTTTGCAAATATACATGAAAACATACTTGTGAAGTGGGAGTTCGTCAAAATAATCACAGGCAAACCCGAGCTTGGTTTATTGGTTGACAGATAATGCATAAGTATCAGAATTCACGGACGATCTACGAACCATCGAGCATCATTAACGACGTTCGCTGAGAGTACGGAGTAGTCATGAGGTACTAGAAGGCCTAGAAGGCTAAAGTATGCATGTTGGAAGATTTAATGGGCTCGGCAAAGGAAGGCTATACTAAATTGACTAGGATTTAATAGCCTCGACAGAGGATTTAATGGGCTCGATTGCAATCTTCTTGTGATGACACTGCACCACACTCTTAAGAATGTAGACCAGACCTAACTTTAGTCTGTCTAACATCTGCTCACACCTTATGATTGCATTGATCAGCTGAGTCAGAACCACCATCCCTTGTCGGTGGAAGTAAGCGTCCTGCAGCCTATTTCTTCTTTGAGTCCCGTCACTAGCTGTGTCATCATCCGTAATCTTCAGTCAAGTGATCAGGGCAAACTCAAACATGGAAAAATTGGAGACTTTGCCCTTGAGGTCGAAATGGAGGGCATCACTATCGATTGGACTCAGTAACCAACATAGAAGTGCATCGATGATTTGACTCGAGTACTGCACATCTCTTAACTGGTACAGGGGCCACACTAGCATAGTATATCTACATACTAATCATCGAGCAGCTCCAGTATAGTAGTGAAACTGTCAAAGCTACTATTTCACGTAGCATTGCCTGGCATCCGTCTCAACTCTACGTTAAAATGATAATCCATCCTACAAAAAATACAAAATATTAGAACATTATATAAGAGAAAATGGAATAAAGCATAATAGCAGAAAATTAAGCGAATCGAATCGTTACTACTATACATAAGACGTAGAATCATTTGAAAGATTATTCTATAATTAATATTATTCTACAATATTATCTTTAACATAAATATTATATATACAAATTTAAACAAAAAGAAATTATTTAAATTAAAGAATTTTAAATTCAAAAATTAAAAGAATTTTTTTTTTTTGGCTCATTTGGTTAAAACAATTAAAAAAAATTATAATAAAACAAAACAAATTGAACAAAAGAAAAAAAAAAAGAGAAATAAAAAGAAAGGTGAAAAAAGAAAAAAGAAAAACGAAATGGGAAAAAGCTATTATAAAGTATTTGAAATTAAAAATAAATAATGTTTAATTTAAATTGAAAAAATTACGTTTTATCATGAAACGAAAAAAAACTAAAAATAATTTTAAATCAAATTACAAAAGAAATTAAGAAATTTAAAAACAATGCAAAAAAAAAAAAAAATTAAAACAATTTTAAAAAATTGTAATAAAAAAAGGAAAAAAAAAGAGTCGGCTTAGTCGATTGTTAAAAGTCAACGTAGCCGACTGTTTAAGTTAGGCTATGCCGACTTTAACAATTAGTGTCGATTTCCACCGGCTGTCTCATCGAAAATGTTGAGAAATTGTCATTTCCGACGAGCTCAATCCATATTAAGCCCCCAATTCCCTCAACAACCATTTAATCATCAATAATGAAGAATTTACATCAATAATAACAACATATAATCCACAAATTCACAAAATAATTCAAATGAAAAATCAAAAGCTTAGAATCTGAAAAATTCTAACCTTGTTCTAAGAAATATGGTGGTGTTGATGCTGAGGCTCGACCAGATGCGATCTAGACAGTCGTCTGTGTGATTTTTGAATTTTTCTTTTCTTTTTTCGATTTTTTCCCTCTTCTCTCTCTCCCCCTCTCTTGCTTGCTTGTAGAAGATGAGGGCAAATATGGAGGTTTGTCCATTTATTTATCTAAAACATTTTTTTCACTTTTTTTGTTTTTTTGAAATATTGGTCAAGGGCCAACATGGAAATAAGGGTTAGTCAAAGAGTCATTTCCACTTATTTCCTTAAAATTTAATGGGCTTGAAGGCAGGCTGACCTATCCCCTCCCTACACCCATGGTGTTACCATTCAAGGCTTATTAGCCGTTCTTCGAAAAGGATATTCAAGAGAGGATAGAAGCATCTACAACCTCATTTACTCTCTGCTCATTCCCTGGCAACCGGTTTGGACGATACAAACTAGTGTCATTCCCATTTTAGTCTTAGAATGATAATTTTATAAAGATTTACACTTAGAGCTAAATATAATTGAGCAAATCGATTTTGTTCGATATGTTCAGGGTTCTTATAATTTTACATATGAACCATCCAGGGACGGAGCCAGAGATCTTGTCCAGTGCGGGCACAATTTTATGCATCGGCTAAGTGATTTTTTAATATTCTCCAAGTTCGAAAGATTCCAAAATCCAAACTACAATATAATGTAAAAGAACTACTTTAGGAGTTCAATGTCAACAAGATTAGGTAGGTTAAATTTTGACATGATTATACTGATTAAAATCCAAGCATGTTTAAAACTCATTTAAAATGGTATGACCTGTCAAACCCCTTCATCCTACTAGAAATTCTTTTTTCTGCCTGCACTCTTATCGAGTTAAAATAAGCAATTAAGCATACAAAATAAGCAAAAACTCCCACGAGTTCCTTTTAAAAACTCTGATATCCTTTAAGGCTAAACCACAAAATCCAATACTTAGTTTTCCTCCTTTTACCGCTAAAACAGGTAAATTATTTATGCTTCTCCCCATTATCATCACACCCTCTTAAATCTTAACTATTTATGCATATTAATATTCATTTTAATTCATAGCATGAAATAAAAACAAAAAAACAAAAGCAATAAAAAAAAGGGGAAGAAGAAGAAAGGCTCATATAGTGGCAGGAGGTAGTGGCGAAGGGCTGAGGTTGACCTCGAAGACTTGCCAACAGCGAGCAGACCACAACTTGGTGTCGAGCTGTGTAACTCACAACTCCAAAGAGAATTGGGTTCGGTTTGTCTCTTCTGTATGCTTGCAATCAGGCAAGCATATGACCTAAATGGGCTATGGCTAATATTAATAGGCCTATTTATAAAAAAAAAAAAAAAAAAAAAAAAGACAAAAACAAATTTTCTTTTCAAAATT